TCGCGGCGGCGTTTACCGGCAACGGGATTCGCTCTGTGTGTGCCCGCCTCCCACGCAATCTGTGCAAGTGCGGGTTAGCCGGTAACGGTCTACGGCGTCTACCTCGGGTTTCGATTACGTTACTCGCGGCGGCGTGTCCCGGTAACGCAATCGCACTCTGTGCAAGTGCGCGTTATCCGGTAACGGTGTCAACGAATTTTGAACCCTCCCTGTCCCGCTCTCGCGCTCTTGATTGTGTGTGTCTGTGTGTGTGTGAAAACTGTTTAGTTAGATACCGCGTATCGTGCTCCCCCTTTCTTCGGTTAGGGTACAGTACTCCTCCGATACGACGGACTTGTTTTGACTGCCCCTCCTTGCTTTTCAGCTTTAACTGGCATATGTGTGTTTTTCTCTCATTGGCCGTGCTTTCGTGCCGCAGGTTGCAAATTACCGAAATTAATTATTCTGAACGGTTTAGTTTTTCGCGTTTTCCGACGGGGTCTGAGTTTCCCTTCCTGTGCCGGTGGTTTCTTCATCAAATAACGCGCTCGACAACCTGGGCTCTCTACACTGCGTGACGAAGGCCTGGGAATACCCTGTGGACACACACTAGTGTTTACGGCAAGCTGCAATTCTCGCCATTTCTCATCCTACGTTCGATGTTCTTTTCCGGCCAACTGCGCTACCATTGTTTTCACCGTTCTAATGCCCTGCTGTATGCACATATATCGAGCACCCTGTACGAAGAGTACTAAAAGGGTACAAACTGTAACACTTTTTTGCAGTGCTTACATAATTCAAAGTCCCGGTCATAAACCTAAGTGGCCGAAATACGAACCGATCGCTATGCCTTGACCCGCACAGAAAGTGCAAGTGTCAGCATAATTGTTCCACGAGTGGACTTCATGTATGTGCATATACCTCCGCGCTCCAGCCTAAGTGAGCATAGCTATATATTAAAGAATATATAACCGTCTCTCCGCTGCTGTTGGCAGCGCAGCTACGAAACTTTGAGCTCTTTAGCTGCTAAGTAAATTTGTAAAACACAAGAAACTCCTGAGAGCTGGAAGCGGCAACTACTGCCGCTCCAGTAAAATAATAAAAAAACTAAATTTATTAAACTTAAGTGTTTTTTCTTTAATTAAATTACTACTTGGGATTACATAAATAAATCTCTACTGCCCTCTCCGTATGATTTTCTTGAGGCGTGTACGGGGTTGTGAGTGGTGCCGCACTCCCGCACTCTGCCAAGAACCGCTTGAACGCCTTCAAAACCTTCGGCACGCCGTACCTTGAGATGATCCACTCCCGGATTGCCTTTTCCAGCATCTCGGTGTTTGCCCTACGCATCGGCACTCTTTCCGTCCACTTTGAAATCCGATCTACGAGCACTCGTTACCGTGCTTCGACCGAAGAAACGGCCTAAAGAAATCGGCGCATACTGTGGCCCAGGGCTCCTCTGGGGAGCATTTTCCCGGCTGCCTACAGCTGACTGGGCTTGTACCTGAGGCAGCTCTCACAGTTCCGCAGATACTTCTCGATGTCGCGGTGCACGCCCGGACAATGGTACCTCGCTACCACCCTCGCGATTGTCTTTCGGCTGCCCATGTTTCCGGCCGTCGGCATATCGAGATTCTCAGCCGGTCGGCCTCCACTAAGTAGTCCGGATATTTTTGGGGGTTCTGTGCTATTTTGCCCCTGATGTCCCTTATCCAGCTACATTCGGCTTGTTTCGTCGGTTGACTTGGTGGCTTCGTCTTCATCCTTCGGCAGGTTTCAGGCAAGGGCTGCCGCGACAGTGCGGACGCCACAATATTCAGCTGGCCTTTCCTGTAGGCGCTTTGTTGGAGCTCCAGTGCCCATCGTGCGATTCTTCCGGTTGGGCTCTCGATGCTATTCAACCACTTCAGAGCCATGTGATCTGTTATCACTTTAAAGTGGTATCCCTACAGGTTTGGTTTTAATTTCCTTATGGCCATCACAATTGCTAAACATTCCTTTTCAATTGCCGATAAATTTTTTTCCAACCCGTTCAAGGTCCGGCTGGAATGGAAATTTTAAGTTAGAATGTCACCCAGCCCATAATCGCTGGCATCGGTCTGCAGCACAAACGGTTTTGTGAAATCCGGGCATGCCAAAATTGGGTCGCCGACCAATCTCGCCTTGACAGCTTCAAAGGCCTGCTGGTGGTCGTCGGTTCATTCCCATTTGACACTCTTTCGGAGCAGGGCGTTCAGCGGATGTACTAGCGTGGCAAAATCTGGCACAAAACGCCTGTACCACGACGCCACTCCCAAATACTGCCGCAGCTCTTTGAGAGGTGTCGGTGGTTTTTGCAACGCTATCGCCGATACCTTCTCCGGAGCCATCCCGATACCCTGGTTTGTAATGCGATGACCTAAGCATTAAAGTTCCTTCCTGAAGGGTTTACACTTATCAGCGTTTACTTTCAGTTTCGCCGCTCGCAGTCTTCTAAATACTTTGGTTTACGTATGTGCTCTTCTAGCTTCCGTCCGATGACTATTTAGCTTCCCGAAGTTGGTCCAAGATATAGTTGATCATCGGCATTGGATAAGCGTCCTTCACGGAATTTGCGTTAATCTGCCTGAAATGCACACAAAGCCACCACTTCCCGTTCTTCTTCCTCACCATGACTATGGTTGAGCTGTACGGACTTCTTGGCAGCTCGATGCACCCCTTTTCAAGTAGTTCGTCTACTTTGGAGCTGATCTCGCCCTGCATTTTGAATTTTTCGGAAAGTACCACTGTTTGACCGGCTGATCGACCTTGGTGGTGATCCTGTGTATTGCCACGTTTGACGTGCCTTGCAGATTTTCCAGGCTCTCCAACTCCGTCTTTAAAAACTGGTCCACATCCTTTTCCGAAAATCCCTTCGTGGCTTCCACGACTGCTACCGACAGTTTTTCCTCCAACCAGCCTCGGTGTCTGTCCCTCGCCGGTATCACAACGCTGCCACCTGCGCACTTCATCTCGGCTCCGATGTTGGTGAGGAAGTTCCATCCTAGCACCAGTGCCCAATCCTGGTATGATCACCAGCCAAGACTTGTGCCAAGTCCGATTTGAATTTCTAGCTGCGATTTTATGTCTCCGCATCTACCGTCCGCCATCCGTACTTGCCTCTTTGTGGGTCCAACCTTTCCTACCGCCAACCGTCAGTTCTTTGCTGATGAAGCTCGCTGTGGCCTTAACATCCTCATCGTCAACAGAACGTGAGTCGCCGATTCCGGCACTCCTTCGTTCAATGGTCAGATGTAACGACCTGATTTTCTAGATATTCTCGCTCGCTACTCAAACGGGCGGCTAGCTCAGAGAGGTTGTTGGATAGTTCCATTAAATTTATATTGGGTGATTGCCTTTGACCAAAGAAAAACGCAGGAGTTCTGTCGGGATCGTAAAGGATTTTATTCGTCTCCTTGTATAAAGCCTTGCGGCTCTTCCGCTACTGCAGCTCCTCGTCGCTGTCTTCTGCGGCGTCGCTCCTCGTCGTCGACTGCTTGCTGGTGTCTGACTCTTGACGGCTCCTCCGAGACTCTGGATGTTATGCGAACCTCACTGTCGGGGCCGGCAAGGTGTTTCGCCTAGCAGGTAGAACTAGGTTCTGCCTCTTCGCCCAGCTTCCTTTATCGCAGGCTCCCTACGCTTGGTCCGGATTGTGTCTGCAAGGTGTATCGCCTAGCAGGTCGAACTAGGTTCGACCTCTTCGCAGACTCCACACAAGGACTCCCTGAGCTCGATTTAACCACGACCTAGCACCCGTTGGGTCTCAGCGTTGAAGTCTCAGCCTTGTAGACTCACAGTCGTTCGGCGTCTCGACTTTGCGATCTTGAACCCTGGTACTCGGCACTTGATTAACTTGCTACTGGTCTCGCGAACACGCACTCGCTTTGATTCTCGCACAATTACTTCGGGGTGAGCTGCGCTTGCGCCGCCCTTTTATAGCCTGTGATTGTCCTGATTATTCCTCTTCTTCAGCTCGCGTGATCGGGTCCAAGGTCCACTGCCGCAACGTTAGCTCATGGTGCAACATCTTTGTATCGGTCCAAAGACCGCCAAGTGCCATTCTTCTCAATGGATGTGAAGTCTGGACTGACAAGCTGGAAACCAAATGTAGAAGCATCTTTTGGTTGTTCAAATGACTTCTGCCATCCGAATAATAAGCGTTCATCGAACAGTATCGTGTGTAAAAGCACTTGTCTTAGGAGGAGTATTTCCGATTGACCTGCTGGCCAGAGAACCAAAAAACTGTACTCAGACAAGCAGAAGGAGCGTCAAGTTAAGCTATCTTAAACTGCAAAAGGGAGACTCTCGACCTTTGGCAAGAAACTTGGGAACGGGAGAGCATCGCTAGATGGACCAGAAGAAACGGGGATATAGACTTCTACGTAACCCAAGCGCTCTCGGGTCATGGGTACTTCAGCTCGTTTTTACATGAGCTGGACAAAAGCACAGGAGTCAGCTGCGTTTGTGCAGACGCTCAGTGTGACAATGCAGAACACACAGTATTTCACTGTAAAATATGCACAAAAACGAAGCAACCTGGCGGAAGCAATCGGGACAAGTTCGCCGGAAAATGTTGTACCCAAGATGCGTAAAAGCGAGAACTGGAAAATGGTAGCGACTTTTATCGGAGACATTCTTCGCTCGAAGATAAGGGATCTGGACAAAATGAGAAGGGCTCTGTGGGCCCCCTTTTCTATTTGGACACCTAAGGACAACCAATTTGGTACATAATGGCCATCTAGCAAAGGCGAACCGTTGAGCTTAGTATGAGCAGATACGCTTTTAATGCATGAGGCCCCACTTCGAAGTTATGCAAAAGCTTTTCTAAAGTAGATAAACGGCCTGATGAGGACGGGTTTTAGTGTTTGCGAGCCCCACATACTACATCTACGACGGTAGTGTGAGATGCAAAGCCATTTTACTCCATCAAAAAAATGAATATAAAAGTGGTGGGAAATATGTAAGCATAAAAATTGCAAAAAAAAGTATTTCTTTATTACCTTGCAATCGAATGCGTGATTCACTCTTGCCAAGCGCATTCACGCTTGAGCAACTGTAAGCTCCAAAGTCTGATTTAGTCAGATGTTTAATGGTAAGGTTGAGATGCCAAGTGTACAAGTTAATCATTTCCTCAGTAATATTATATTTGTTCCCGTTGTGCAGTTTAACATTTCCTAGCAAATATTTTATTTAGTAACCTGTTTAGTTGCAAAGAAATCACACTTACCTTCGTTACGATACCAACCATTAAGAGGTTTAGGGTATACTTCAACAATGCATTCTAAAGTTACTTCTCTTTCAACGGGTGCTCCCACCAATTGATTAATAGCCTTAATTGTTGGTGAAACTGAAAGAAATAAATACAAACATTTTCGTATACTTAATATTTAATATTAATCTAGAAAAGAAGAAAACTTCGACCAGCCGAAGTTTATATGGTAGGTAGGTAAAAGTTATAAGGTTCTTCCGAGAAACCTCCAAGTAGAGCTCCGTTTTGATTCACACCCTCTTAAGCTATTGTAAATGCGTTACCTTTAGTACAAATAACATCCTGTCTCATTTAGGAATCCTAAGATTGCAGCTATGTTCTGCTTTCCTATAATGAATCCAACTGGTAGTCTCCGAAGTATAGCGCGCTGATCTGGTTAAGTGCAGAGCAGTAATCCTGCTGTTATCCCCTTTGCTTTCAGTTGTCAGTTCTCGTGTCCTCCTGCTATCGTAAGTTGGCCAGGAAAGCTTTGATCTCCTGTGATCTTGCTTTTCCGACCATCTCTTGCAGCGCGGCCGCTGAACATGATCCGAACTCCCCTGTAACTCCTGCGCAGGCTGATTCTTGTATTCTTGTCAGTTTTTATAGCGTTGTAAGGCCTAGCGTTGTGTGCGTCTCTTCACAAAGCGTTTGAGGTAAGTTCCACTCAGTTCGGCTGTTATCGATCTGCTCGTGAGCGTCACACCGGTACATATTCTGAACGCACCTTCTATATCTAAAAATGTGGCCATCGTGTTTTGTTTAAAATGTAGCGACTTTTCTTAATAACGTACCACATCGTGCAGTGCCGCCTATAATCGGCCTATAATCTTTCGCTAGGGTGAGACCTCTTCTTTCTGGTTTTGGTTTGAACACAACTTTAGCTCCCCTTCATGAAAGCGATATTTGTGCCAGTTTGACGCATGCCTCGTAAAGCCACTTACTAATGGTGTCTTTTGTAGTTTGTAGCATTGCCGGGATAACGCTAATATATCAGTCAAAGGAGTCTATCGGCCGTTTAATACTTTCAAAAGTTATAATAAGCCTCGTCTGTCTTGTTTGCTCAGCACCCTGGAATTTGGAAATTGCGCATCCGCTAGAGTCTTCCAGTGACTCCTCCCCTGTCAAAAATGCTGTGCCGTCTTGTTTGTTTTGAAAAGTTTAGAATGCCCCTTTGCTAGTATCCTTATTAGTCCAGCCGTGTAATTCATAATTAATAATAAATTTTTCAAGATTTTTTCTTGGCTGCAATTATGGCTTTTCTGTATTCTTTTAGTGCTTCATTATATAACTCCCATACCTTGGTAGCATAGCTGATGTTGTACGTTATTAGTGAATTCTAATTGAGAGTACATAGTTCTTTTGTCCATGGCGGTTGTTTTTTCCTAGAGTATTAGGTCCTCTACCTCCATGACCATAGAGGATTTTACCCTTATCCTCCTGTTTCTGACTTTCGAATGGAAAATCTTACCGAATTTGTCCCAGTTAGGTCTACGTGGGCTAGGTTTTGGATCCGAAGTACTAATGATCAGAAAAAGAATGTTGTTTCGAAAGTATCCATATATCGACCATGCTTAGAGCAGACCGCCAGCACGTAGTAAAATGCTCATAGGTGTGCGCTGCACATGCAGGGCTGTTATACAGGTTTGCTTGTTTATTGTTCTTCGTCTTTCTTATCTCGCTACATTTGTCGCGTTATCTATTCAGCTGAGCTACAACGAAAACATATACAAAATTTGAAGTCAAGCTGCAAGTCAGTTATACAAAATCGCTACAACTCCGGGCACAGCTTATAAAATCAAGAAATAATTTCAATTGAACCTATCGTGCGTTTAATTTGTATTTCTAAACTAAATGGTGGCATTTTGGTTGTTTTCCCCATGAACATTTTGGCGACCCCGACGTGATATTCGTTCAATCGGAGTCTGCATGTTGCATGCATAACATATTTTCGCTGTCGTTTGCTGCATCTCAGTCACAAACATACGAACACTTTATGTGCGCGCTGCCGGCCGGCCGATTGTTTTTTTCGAGCATTTTCGCGCTGTGAAAGAAGCAAAACTGTGTTGTGCTGCAAACATTAAACATAAAAGGAAACGCAATTAATTGTTGTCAAACGCGTATATTGCATACATAGCCGTGTATGTGTATGGTCACATACATTACTTTGCCAAGTCAATGCACTGTTGCTAGGCAAAAATTTCGGTAAAAAGAACAAAAACAAAGTCAAAGTTTCTGTTACGTTGTTGGCGACGCTCGGTGCATTTACATTTGCGCGGCAATAGGCATAGGGTGTTGGGGTTAACGATCACAGTAACTTTTGTTGTTGCTGCCTCGGCTGTCGATACGAAAGAGAAGCATGCATTGCTCTTTTGCAGTGAGAGCCGACGCTCGTCTTGATTACGTTGGCGCTGCGCCCGATCTTCGTTTGGGTTCATCACTTTTATTTGTATTTTAGTTTTAGAAGCACTAGATAACAACACAAATGATAGTAACTTGCGACTTTTCATCGCACTAAGCGCCTTTTCGATGTTTATTTTTATTTTCTATCGGGGTTTTTTTTAACGATTGTTTTCCGGAGTACAAAAGAAATAAATAAACGTCTGCACTCGCCGACGTTCAAATTGGTTAAACGGCCGAAGTTTAAATACTATTAAAGCTATTGCTTAAATAAAAATTATATAAAAGCAATGATGCTATGCCGATTTAGCTATGAATTTATCGATCGTTATATATATATATGTCGGCGCACACTAAGAGTGTGTGGATGTTGGTATGAGTGTATGGGTATACAGTCTCTAGAAAATTCCAGAAGACTAATTTCATCAGTAAAGTAATTTCATCAGTAATTTCATCGGCCTCTAACGGTGCTTTGTTTGGTTGTATGCGTGTTGTCGCTTAAGAAGTACCGTTTTAGCGGGGCGACAGCGTTGTGTCGCTGTCGCCGAGTGTGGTTCGGTGGAAAGCACAGAAAGAAGAAGGGATGACGCCAGTAGTTGCGTTCAGGATTTCGTGCGTGTAAAACGGAAACTCGCTGCGCTATTACAATGTCGGAAAATAATATCAATGCTGCAACATATATATAGTTTTTTTTAAAAGATTATTTAGTTTTTGCAAATCTGCAAGGGTATATAAGCTTTGGCATGCCGAAATTTTGTTCCGTTTCATCCGGCTCGCTCCGAATTAATACTTCCTGCAATCGAAAGACAACTTTTGGGAAAGTTTCATTCATGAAGCTTTAAACTGAGAGACTAGCTTGCGAGGAAACGGACGGACAGGCATACACGGCTAGATCGATTTTCCTAGTGATGCTTGTCACTTTATAAGGTCGGAAGTGTCTCTGTAAATAGCCGTGTCTCGTAAACAGCCGTGTATGTGTATGGTCACATACATTACTTTGCCAAGTCAATGCACTGTTGCTAGGCAAAAATTTCGGTAAAAAGAACAACAACAAAGTCAAAGTTTCCGTTACGTTGTTGGCGACGCTCGGTGCATTTACATTTGCGCGGCAATAGGCATAGGGTGTTTCCTGCCCTCTTAATCCGGTCAGACAATTAAAAAATGGTTAACCGCGAAAATGGAGACGCGATTCAGTCTCAAAATGATGCTCCCAGTGACATCGAGTTTCACCGAGCCAAAGTGCGTTCCGTTTTGCGGCAGTTAAACGCAATGAAATTATTACTTAACTGCTGGAGCTACTGAGCAGTTTGATGAATCTGATGTCCTCGCGCGGCTGGAATGGGTGAACTCTATGAACTTGGAACTCGATTCTGCACAGACTTCGTTGAAAAAACTGGACTTTTCGGAGATTAGTAAAGATACGCGGTTTGAATTTTCCGCAATCTTAATGGATTTAAAGGCGAAACTAAATCGGGCCCTAGCAGCTCTGGGCAAACTGCATTTACCGGGTTCCACAGCTGCCAATTCTACATCCTTTGATATTATAAACAATGCGGATCATTCTTTCAGATTTAGGAAACCTCTATTGCCAAATCTAGAGATTGCTCGTTTTCAAGGATCGTACTCAGAATGGCCGGACTTTATTGCAACTTTTACCACGATGATTGGAAATGATGACGAGCTAAATGATATTGAAAAATTACAATATTTGAGGTCCTCTTTAGGCGAATTCGCATCTTCGAGCAATCCGTACCCTGGCCACTACACAACAAATTCTGGATGGATTTCTCATTCATATCGTGACACACAAGCTGGATCAAAGTACCCGTGAAAAATGGGAAGATGATTTGTCAATCTCTGAGCTATCTACCCGGGATGCTATGGAGTCGTTTTTGGAGAAGAGGTGCCGGATGATGGAAAACTTGGACCAAGCTGTGGTAATTAACACAACACCATCAGGTGGGAAAAAGCATGCATAGATATAACCTAAGTATACTGATTACGTCTGCTACTAACTCAAACCATCCAATTTGCCTATTTTGCGATGCTAGAGATCATTATTTGCCAAAATGCTCCCGATTCTTAAGCTTGAGTCCCAATCTTCGATATAGGAAAGCAAAGAAAATGCACCGTTGCCTCAACTGTTTACGCAAAGGCCATAGCTTGCAGCAATGTAAGTCAACTCATTGTAAACATTGTCGCATGAAGCACCATTCATTACTGCACATTATCCCAGAGTCATCCATACCATCGACCTCAGTTTCATCTCCATCATCCGACCTATCTATAAGCTCTCAGCCATTACCATCGACTTCATCATCACTAGTGTCATGCTCATCTCCATTATCAAAACCTAATCACCATTTAACGCACTCTCCACCACAAACCTTAAATACAATGCCAATGAATTACGTTCTGCTTCCAACTGCTATAATCTACGTAAAAAATAGAGTTGGTGCATTTATGCCTTGCCGAGCAATATTAGATTCCGCTTCTCAGTTAAACTTTATTACTACGCGCCTAGCTAGCCAACTTAATTTAAAACTTAGACAATCGCTCACACTAATAGTTTCTGGAGGGATGTCATGTATGTCAAGTATGCTTGCTGATCATTCAGATGATGACACACTTGCTGCCGTAGTAAAACGGTTTTGCGGGATTGAAGACATCAGTTTAGAAAAACCATCGATGCTGGCCGA